AGGACGTTGCTGCCGGACATCCGCTTCAACTTTCTTCCCTCTTCCCCCACCACCACCCTGGTGAGGACCATCACAGGCCTCACCAGTGAGGACCATCATAGGCCTCACATCCCTTGCGGCTGCCATCATAGGGGCCGCTTGGGTCGCCCTCTCCCACCAATACACCAATACTTTACGGCGTCAATAGCCAATGGAGGGGGCCGAGGACCTCCCTGCAGCCCCTCGGCCAACGAAGACGGCTGCAGGGAGGGGTCCAAACGTACCTCCACCTTCATGCACCAATCAACCAATACACCAGTAAACCAATTCCTCATATTCCTCCTCCCTCCTCCTCCTCCTCCTCCTCCTCCTCTTCCTCCTCCTCTCTCTCTCCCTCCCTCCCTCCCTCCCTCCCTCCCTCCCTCCCTCCCACTCCCTCTCCCCTCTCCCTCTCACCTCCCTCCCCCCTCCCCTCCTCCCTCTCCCTCCTCCCTCCTCCCTCCTTCCCTCCTCCTCTATCCTCCTCTTCCTCCTCCTCCCTCTCCTCCTCTCTCCTCCTCTCCCTCTCACCTCCCTCTCCCACTCCCTCTCCCTCCTCACCTCCTCCTCCTCCCCTCCTCCCTCTTCCTCCTCCTCCTCCTCTCCCTCCTCCCTCCTACCTCGCTCCTTCCTCCTCCAGCTCCCTCCTCCCTCTCCCTCCTCCCTCCTCCTCCTCCTCCTCCTCCTCCTCTCCCTCCTCCCTCCTCCTCCTCCTCCTCCTCCTCCTCCTCTCCCTCCTCCTCCTTTCTCCTTCTCCTCCTCTCCTCCTCCCTCCTCCTCCTCCTCCTCATCCTCCCTCCTCCCTCTCCATCCTCCCCTCCTCCCCTCCTCCCTCCTTCTCCTCCCTTCTCCCTCCTTTCCTCCCTCCTCCTCCTCCTCCTCGGAGGATCGGTTCCACGATGCTCAAGGGGTTGGCTGTCCTCCACGCCGGGCCCGCCCCGCCGCGCGGCGACACGCGCAAGGGCCCGAGGCCGCCCGGACCGTGCGGCCTGCAGGGCACTGCGCCGGCATCCTGCCGCGCCGTCGTGGTCGTCGCGGTCGTCGTGGCCGTCGTCGTGGTCGTCGCGGTGGTCGTGGCCACCGTGGTCACCGTCGTCGCCGTGGTCGGCGTCGTGGTCGTGGTCGTCGTCGCTGTCGTCGTCTTGGTCGCGTGGTCGTCGTGGTCGTCGTCGTCGTCGTCGTCGTCGTCGTCGTCGTCGTCGTCGTGGTCGTGGTCGTGGTCGTGGTCGTGGTCGTGGTCGTGGTCGTGGTCGTGGTCGTGGTCGCCGTCGTCGTCGTCGTCGCCGCCGTCGTCGTCGCCGTCGTCGTCGTCGTCGTCGTCGTCGTCGTCGTCGGGCATCTGCTGGCTCCAGCGCTGCCGAACGACAGCGGACGACGACTACTGGCGGCGGCGGCGACACCCAGGGCTGCCTAACAAGCACTGGAGGACTTCAAGGTGCCCAGACGAAGCCCAAAGCGGCCCCTAACGCCCCAGAACGGGCCAGGAGCTGGGAACACCTTGGGCTACGGCGGGGAACTTCCAGATAGCGTGTCTGCGAAGCTTCCTACCGTAAAAACGCTCTCTTGCAAACGTCTGATCCTGCTTCTCCTGGACCTCTCTCCTGGCGTGCGTTTCGATTCGAATTTCGAAGGGGGTCCAGCCGCAACGACGAGAAACCTATTGGAGACCCTTGAAGAATGGGAAACGCGGAATCCTTAGACCCTCGATCTTCGAACCTCGATTCGAGGACTCCGACGACTTGTTTTTTTGAGTCGCTGGCCCCCAGTCCTCTCGCAAGGCCGTCCACGTCGACAGCGAAGCCCAAACCAACCGAGACCGACAAAACGCAAGCAGCTTAGAAGGGCGCAACGACGCGGCAACGATGCAACAATCGACCGGACCGCACCGACCGACCGCAACCGACTGCGACGCAGCCGAACCGACCGAACACCGACACTCTTGTCTCGACCTCCTTCGGCTACATGCAGGGATGACTCCGGGCAAGAACGGCCTCTGGTGCGCGGAGGAAGGGGGCGCACAAGGGCCAAATCCCAAGCGCGCGAGCACCCGGTAAGCGATCGGGGGGGCCCCGATGAGCGCGTACCAGAGGTCACTCTGGCGAGAGGTCACTCTTACGTGTAGTCGCCTCTTCCCTGGGGCCAACTTTCCATCCCGGGCCGTCTTCGCGAGTAGGCATGTTTGCGAGCAGCGGGAAGCCCTCGATGATTCTTGGAAGGCGCGGGCCTCCTCTGCAGACGTAGGGACGGCGCCTTCCGAGAGGCAGCCTCCTTCCAAGACGCCTCCCCCCCTCCCCCCACACCCCCTCGTGCGCGCCGCCGACAGGACCTCGACGGGCATCCGAGCGTGGCGGCGAGGGCGCCCCGGGAGGCAGCGCACGCCTGCGACAGCGCCGACCCTGGCTGCTCCGCGGCCGACGACGGCAGGGCGGCGGGGGCCCTCGGACCGCCCCCTCCGCGGCCACGACGCCCTCGCGGGGAGCCC